GGGAGTTTAATTGCTTATAATTGTAAAATATAGTTTTTATTAGTTAAACGTAATAGATGAATATAATATTAAAATGTAGATTTAATATCAATAAAAATACCTTTCGGCCTAGCTGAGAATGCCGATTACACAATGATCCAACTATCAAACATCCAATTACTTGATGTGCCCACTTCAAGTTTTTGAGTTTAGTCAAAACTCTAAGTGAAGTTTCCTATATGTTATAAAAAAAAAAAAAATAAAAAAATAAAAAACTTTAATGGTATATTACTTGTCTAAAGTTCCAAAAAATATATGTAATTTACCGTGTTTTTATTATCTAACAAAGCGAGGGCTTTGATCAACTTATGAGTTGAAACGCGTAAGTTTCTCATATCATCATGTTCCATGCTGAAAATAGCATCAAATTCTTTTTGATATATAGATTCATGGTCATAATCTGCGTTATAGACATCTAGCAAAATCCGTAATAATTGTTGAGACATTTTCATTAAAAAAAAAAAACTCAAAAAGAATGTTTCTAAATCGTGTACCTTGTACATATTTTGAGTATATTTTTAATATGCGAACACACTGAATCATGAATTTGCAAAAGTGATATTGTGCTAAAGAAGCGACTAATAAATAAATATACAACATTATAAATCTTAGATATAGAATATTAATTAATAAGAATTTTACTGAAAAAAATTAACATAAATCTACTCTTAAACTCGTTCTTGGATTTCGATTTTAACATGTTCGTAAAGAATTTACTCAAAAATGACCATCGTGAATGATCTATCAAGACCCGTATAACATCTTCCTACAAATGATCCAAATGATATTAAATTTATGTAATATTCGATATATTAAATTACAGCGGAATACATATTCTTACCAAATCTTGTAAATCCACCCTAAGAGCGTCATCCAACGCATTATTACATAGACTCTCTACATGTTCTAATTTAGAATTGTCTAAAGGTTGTTGATGACAAGCCGAATTAATAAATTCTTCAACAGCTTTCCATCTCGAATAAACAATATTTTGAGCCTCATTCTAGAAAAATATAAGTATATATTAGACTATAAAGTTTGAAACGCAGTGAAAAGTAACAAAATGAATTCACTTACTCGACTAATTCGAGAAGATTGATTTAAGGGTTGAAATATCGACGGGATTGTATTAGGAAGTCGAGATGGTCGAAGCTTTTAATGAATAGATTAGTCTAAATAAAGTTATAATAATTGAAAACCTTAAGAAAATTTGATATGAACCTGAATATGTTTCAAGCTTTTAGGAATTTGAAAATCGTCATGAACAATGTTTAATCTAATTTCTTGACTTGGTCTAGTTTTTTTGTTACCATTAGTC